TAAACACATTGAGTTAGAGCATCACTTCATAAAAGAGAAGGTGCTTGATGGGACAATTGAAGCTTTGGAAGTTCGAAGCGAGGACAACGTTGCGGATATCTTCACCAAGTCATTACCAAAAGGTCAGTTCGAGTTACTTCGCTCGAAGCTCGGGATGACTGACAAAATCAAGTTTAAAGGGGAGTATTAAAGTTAAACTTGATTTTGGGTTAAGCTTAATTTTGGGTTTATAAAATAATTATTAGTTATTAGATTAGGCCCAAAATTAAGCTCAAGTTCTAGAATCTCTAGAAACATCACTAAAAATCATCATCTTTCTTAAATGTTCTAGAGAATTCTATTAGTTAAATATCTAGATAATTCTATAGATAATTCTAGATGTTGTAGTTAAAATTCTAGATATTATTGTAGAAAATTCTAGAGATTAGGAGAATGTTTGTAAGATATTTTGTAATAAGTGGAGCCTATAAATAGCCCACTACTCCATCATTTGTAAACAAGAGAAGTTGAACAAATAAAGAAAGAGTGTTCTTCATAAGTTCTCTTATTCTCTCTAAAGTTCCTTCAAGTTTTCTCTAAGTATTCTTTCATCTTATTATTCATACTTAGAGGGTCTTTGTTTCTTTCGGATCTCTCGGGTATTACGGTCTTGGGCTAGTGCTTGGCACTATTGGTGTTTTCTATCGACTCCACATTTGGTTATTCAATACTTTACTGCATACTACATACGAGAGAAATTTAATATTTTACTGCGTACATATGAGAGAAAATTTTCATTTCATGACACAGTCACACAGGTTGGCTCCGGTGTAAGGTTTTTACCTTACTGAAACTGAAGCTTCATCCATGTTGATGCCATGTACATATTTTTCGCCTAAAAAAGCAAACATTAATGTGAATCTATGACTCTTTTTTTTCTAAAAGAGAAAATAATAATAATTCACTCGTTTGATTTTCCATTCTTCATCACTGTATAAACTCAACAAGTGACTACCACTTGCCATCTTCTCCTCCAAAAAAAAAAACGTTTATCAGAACATCTCTCTGTGAATCTCTGATTCTGAACCACTTAAGATCCTCTCTCATGGCTTCTTCTTCTCCTCGAACTTGGACATACCGCGTCTTCACGAGCTTCCACGGACCTGACGTCCGTAAAAACTTTCTCAGTCATTTACGCAAACAGTTTGACAACAATGCGATTTCGATGTTCAATGATCAACGGATCGAGAGAGGTCAAAGCCTAGCCCCTGCTCTCACAAAAGCGATTAGAGAATCGAGGATCTCCATCGTCGTGCTCTCAAAGAACTATGCTTCTTCAAGTTGGTGTTTGGATGAGCTGTTGGAGATTTTGAATTGCAAGAGAGAGATTGGGCAAAAAGTGATGACGGTCTTCTACGGAGTAAATCCATCTGATGTTCGGGAACAGAGCGGGGATTTTGGGAAAGCTTTCAAGGAAACATGTGCTCGAAAAACAGAGGAAAAGAGGCGAAAATGGAGCCAAGCTTTGAACCATGTTAGCAAAATAGCCGGAGAACACTTGCTTAACTGGTTTGTTTGCTACAACTAATTTGCGATTTTTGCTTCTTTTTCTTTGGGAACCTGAAAGATCTGAAACAACAATATCTTTGTTAGGGACAATGAATCAAATATGATCGAGAAACTTGCTAGAGATGTTTCAAACAAACTAAACACTACAATCTGTAAAGATTTTGATGGCATGGTGGGGATAGAAGCACACTTGGAGAAATTGCAGTCTTTGTTACATTTAGACAATAAAGATGAAGCTATGATAGTTGGAATCTTTGGTCCTGCGGGTATTGGTAAGACTACCATTGCCAGAGCTTTACATAGCCGGCTCTCTAGCAGTTTTCAGCTTACTTGTTTTATGGATAATCTTAGAGGAAGCTACAATAACGGTCTTGACGAGTACGGATTGAAGTTGTGTCTACAAGAGAAACTTCTTTCTAAGATCTTAAACAGAAATGATATGAGGGTTTGCCATTTAGATGAGATACCGGCAAGGCTATGCGACCAAAACGTTCTTATCGTTCTTGATGATGTGGACACTCTGAAGCAGCTCGAAGCTCTGGCTAACGAAACTAATTGGTTTGGTCCTGGAAGCAGGATTATCGTAACCACAGAAGATCAGGACATTCTGGAGCAACATGGTATCAAGAATACATACTGTGTGGATTTTCCAACCAAAGAAGAAGCTGGAAAGATCTTTTGTAGATATGCTTTTAGACAGAGCTCTGCACCAGATAGTTTCAAAAAGCTTGTTAAAAGAGTAACAAAGCTTTGCGGCAACCTTACATTGGGTCTCCGTGTCACGGGTTCATATCTGCATGGCAAAAACGAAAAAGAGTGGGAAGTTATACTGCGTAGGCTAGAAAACAGCCTTAATCAAGATATCGAGGGAGTGCTTAGAGTCGGATACGACAGCTTACATAAGAACGATCAACTGCTATTTCTCCTCATCGCATTCTTCTTCAACTACGAAAACGATGATCATGTGATGGCCATGCTTGCTGAAAACAACTTGGATGTCAAACTCGGGTTGAAAACACTCGTACGTAAATCTCTCGTACAAATATCAACCAAAGGAAACATAGCCATGCACAAGTTACTACAACAAATGGGTAGACAAGCGGTTGAAAGACAAGAGCCTTGGAAACGCCAAATCCTAATTGATACTAATGAGATTTGTGATGTTCTCAAAAATGCATCTGTAAGTATTTTTAATATATTTCTAATATATTTTTCATGTGTCCGTTAAACCAGGTCATTTCTTAATCTGCTAACAATTTCTATGATTATTTTAGGGTAGTGGAAATGTGGCGGCTATATCTTTTGATATATCCACAATCAAAAACGTGCATATAAGCGCAAGTGCTTTCAAAAATATGCATAATCTTCGATTTCTCAGCATCTACAAAACAAGACATGATACAAATGTTAGAGTGCATGTATCCAAAAACATGGACTTTCCACCTCGTCTAAGATACCTACATTGGGAGGTATATCCAAAAAAGTGTCTTCCTTGTACATTTAGGCCGGAACATCTCGTGGAACTCAATTTAGAATATAACGAACTCCATAAGCTTTGGGAAGGGAAACAGGTTGGTTTTTCTTTTATATTTTGCTTGCTTTATCTAGTAATTTGCTTTCCCATTATGTGTTTGGTGATCGTTTGCTCTGTTGTGTTGTTTTTACATTCAGCCACTTACAAATCTCAAGAAGATGAATCTGTCACAATCATGGGGTTTGAAGGAACTCCCGGATCTTTCAAATGCTATAAATCTCGAGAGATTGGTTCTGCGTCATTGCTACAGTTTGGTCGAGATTCCTTCCTCTATTGAGAATCTTCACAAACTAGAGTGGTTGGAGACGGATTACTGTGTACATCTAACACTTGTTCCGACCCGTATCAACTTGGCATCTCTTAAAGTGGTCCGCATGAGAGGGTGTAGGCAACTGAGAAGCTTTCCGGATATTTCCACCAACATCACAACACTCTTCATTGCAGACACAATGTTGGTAGAAATGCCTGAATCAACCAGGCTTTGGTCTAGCCTCTTGAACCTCTCTATATATGGCAGTCTCTCTACGGAGGTTCCTCCAAAACGAACCCAAGGAGAAGACGTTGAGCGAATTCCAGTCTGGATCAAAGATCTTGATCGGTTGAAAAGGCTATTTATAGCTGGCTGTCCAAAACTTACATCACTACCAGAGCTCCCTCCCTCGCTCACAAAGCTAATAGTAGACACTTGTGAATCACTCAAGACTTTAGTATCTTTCCCTTTTGAGTCTCGTATTGAGCATCTCAGCTTCGCCAACTGCTTCAGATTGAGCAGAAAAGCAAGGAGTGTTATTACACAGCAATCGTTGAAGGCATGCCTACCCGGAAGACAAGTGCCTGAGGACTTCGACCACCGAGCTAAAGGAAACTCATTGACCATCCGTTCTGATTTCTACAGGTTTAGGTTTTGCGCTGTGGTCCCGCAGATGGAAGCATACGATCCCAATATGTTTTGTCGAGTACGCATAAACGGTTTCCCCCACACTGACCGATACATGAATATGGAGTTCTGTGGAAGAATCGAAAAGACACATCTGTTTATGTATTTCTTTGATTTTCTTGACCAACACGGATGGCTTGAAAAGGACAACGAGGTCACGTTCGAATTCATCACGACATCCCATGAAGTCGAAATTGCTGAGTGTGGCGTCCAGATCTTGAAGGGAAGCAGCAGCCAGAGAAGAAGCTATGAATCTATACCAGAACAAGTGTCTGAAGACGACAATGAAATTCTGTCTGTTGGGAGCTCTGAATCTGTTTCAGAACAAGTGTCTGAAGACGACAATGAAAATCTCCCTGATGGGACGACCTCCGAATCTTGTTCAGAAAAAGTGTCTGATAAGATCGATGACTTTTGCTCTGGTTTCTTCAAAAAGGGTGATGGTGATGATGCACCACCCATACTAACGATGGCTTGGCTTCTGTTTATTCAGTTAGGTCTTTTTTTCTTTATGGGTTTTTTATATACCCTTATCACGATTATTGGCAGTATCCCCTTGTTTCTCTTGAGGACTGTTGGCAGAATTCTCCTGTTTCTCTTGGGGTCTCTGATACACCTTGGAGGGTTTACACTGGACAAAATAAGAAAGTTTCCCATGTGGACGACAAGGCAAGTGACGAAGCAAACAAAAAAGAAAAAACGAAAAAAAGAGAAAAGGCTGATGAGGAGAAGAGACGAAAATGGAGTCAAGCTTTGACCGATGGGAGCACTTCCTAGACTTTAGATTTAGTTTGTTGTTTTCATGTCTTATTATGATGAATAAGAAGAAGACTTACGGTGAATAAAGAGGATTATGGGAATGTTTTTTTTTTTGATAAATGAATATTAATAGATGCGTTGGAGAAAGAGGATGTCTTGCCTTACTAAACGAAGAATCTCTTCACTCTCTCTCTCTCTTTCTTCAGAAGCTACAAGAGAATAAAGTTACAAAGTCTGCATATTATTTCCAAGGCAAGAACACAACAATGGTATTGGTAAATGAAACAAAAATTAAGGTGGATATGTTCACTAGACAAATAACTTTGAGAAAACAAAATTGTATTCCTAAATAGATAGTAAAATGAAATATTACATTACTACAGTCTTATAAGGAAACTATAATTATCCTACTACTTTTATTTCTGTAGAATTTCTGTTACTTGCTAATTTGCCGATGTGTGTGCCTGCAATATATCCACCTGACCAAGCATTCTAGATACAAAAATACTTGCCTGAATTAATACGCCGTTTTAACATTTTGATTGCGTCTTAGGCACTTAAAACTCATGATTTTCATTTCTACTTAATAGATATGTTCACCTGGAAATTGAAGCCTCCTGTAACTCCATCTACATTTAGTACCTGAAGACACAAATGTAAGAAAAGATGCTACGATGGTCATGATGTATGTATGTATGTGATAATACTGCCTCAAACGTTGTAGCCATGTTTACCTCTCCTGCAAAGAAAAGTTTCGGAATCAATTTGCTCTCCATTGTCTTCAAAGAAATCTTGAAACAGCAAGAGACATTGTAAAATCAGATTTAGTAAGAAAACACCGAAAAAGGATTGATTTAAGTTCTTTAAAAAGGCAAACCTCAGATAAAGGAACTCCTCCTGCTGTTACAAACTCATCTTTGTATTGACCCTTTTGCAGCAACATAACAAAACACAATGTCATCATCATTATCATCTTGAGTAATATGATCAAATCTGATAAGTTTAATGTTTGATATTATAAACCTTTCCAGTGACTTGAAATGTACAATGCTTAAGAAGACCGGAAATAGAGCTCAATGAGTTATTTGACAGTGAAGCCCACAAGGTGTCTCCTGAAGAACCCTGCTTGATCATGAAGACAGTCAAGGGCATTAGCATAAGATTAAGAGGTTTTACGATATGGAAAAGCTATGAAAGAAGGTTTGGTAAGAACCTCACGGGATAGAATGTAATTCCAGAATCTATTGACAAGACCGAACTGCTGAGGAAAAGTATTGGATACCTTATGCTTCTGCATTAGACAATGCCACAAACTTTTAAAAAACCAAAGACAAGAAACAAAGAGAAGAAAAGAGTAAAAGTATGAAATGTGTTGTTACTGAAAACTGCAGCTTGTGTTGTTTAAGTAAAGATTTCGCAGCTTCGATGTTAAAATCCGGTATGAAGTCAACAATAAGAATCCCTGCAACCAAACCATATCAACCTAATTGGAACATATTTTCAATAACTACATCGACTTCAGTTATTTCTGCAGATGAAAGATTCAGACCTTTGTACTCAGAACTGAAGAGATGTCGTGCACCCCATGCAGAGAGACGGAGGATAACTGGTCCACTTAGTCCCCAATGTGTCACAAGCATTGGACCAGACTTGACAGGAAACCACATTAATTTTAAGCTTATCCTCCTGATAAAGAACGTTAAACAAATCAAGAATTGCAAGAGAGATGCACACCTGCACAAGTTTTGACAAATCCCGCTGTGGATTTTCTAGTTTCAGTTTGGCTTGGACTTTGGAGAAACTAATCTGAGTAAGGGAAAGAAACAGAAAGTAATCTGAGAAAGAGCAAGTAACACAGTCAAAACTCATAACACTTTTTCGTTCAAGGCAATATTAGTAATAGAAGAAAACTACCCCTGCTAACGCAGCCAGCGACGGATCATTGATCTTAAAAGTGAATAAACTTGGTACTGGATCGACAATGGAATGACCAAATTGAGTGGCTAAAACGTGACCCTGAAACATAATTGAAATATATCTTAGGAAACCATGACAACCATTATAATGAAATGCCTTGAAAACAAAAGATTCATGTTCTTCAAATGGGATATTATAACCTGTTGGCTACTTCCGGTTGCAATCAGAAGATATGAAGCTTCGATAGATTCAGAAGTGTCATCACTTCGCTTCCCAACTTTAACAACGAACTTTCCATCGGGTTTAGTAGAAGCACTTAACACGGACTTTCCTCTCTCAAGCCTAACTGGTTCAGAAAATTAAGAGATGTGTATATATGATTGAAGAGACAGAACAATTAAGAAGAATGGATATTTCAAGAGATGTTTTATTAATACCTCCTCTAATATTTGCTTCATTCAAGAGACAATCAATTACAGAAGTTGAATTATCGCTCACGGGGAATACCCTTCCATCGTCTTCAACCTGTTGGATACTAGAGTTAGGCGAAAATGTGGAATTAAGACAAACATGTCGGAAAGTTTACTTGATGGAAAGTCACAACCTTCAGTGGCACTCCATGCTCAGAAAACCATGACATAGTATCACCAGGACCATGTGTGAAGAAGAAAGAACCTTTAAGCTCTTTATTTCCACGAGGATAATTCTCTGCCAATCTCTACATACAAGTTTAGTTATTGAGTTAACAAAAGCTCAAATTAACGGAAAAACAGATATGCTTCCCACAAGATTAAAGACAAGACTAGAAGAAAGCTTCATGATTCTGCAATTTTCAGGCATAAAGTTTCAAGCTTTCAATGTATACAAGGTTGCAATGTTCTGTGAATCTCTAAATGAAAATTCGATACTACTTTAACAAGAGCACAATTCAAGTTAAACCGATGAGCTTCCCACAAGATTAAAGACAAAACTTCATGATTCTGCAACTTTCAGGCATAAAGTTTCAAGCTTTCAATGTATTATACAAGGTTGCAATGCTCTGAGAATCTCTACACGCAAATTTAACAAGAGCACAAATCATGTTAAATCGATATGCTTCCCACAAGATGAAAGAGAAAACTGCAAGAAAGCTTCATGATTCTGCAAATTTCAGGCATAAAGTTTGCAGCTTTCTGTATGAACAACACTCACAATCGTATCAGTGCAATGTCCATTAGTCACATTGCATCGACCACCACCAGAAATCTTCACCTGCGAAATGCAAAAAGATTAAACGTATGAACAAAAAAAAATCCATTTTTGTCGCCAAATGGGTTTAGTTAACGGAAACAAGAGACTGAACCTTAGAAAGAAATCTCCCTTTTTCAATAACCAAAACTCTCAGATCAGGTGAGAGAGATTTAGCCCTAATTGCTCCATAGACTCCAGCTGCTCCACCACCAACAACAACCAAAAGCTCGTTCTCATTTTGTTTCTCCTTCTAATTTCATCCAAGAACCCAACAATTCAGACAAAATAAACCGAAATTGCTATTACTACTACTGATCAGAGAAATTTACCTTGTCGACTAAACTGTTTATAGCAGTGGCAGTGAAGATTCCCCTACTCCTGCTGGTTCTACATAACAAAGCTTTTACAGGAACCCAGAGAGGATTTGCCAGATTCAAGTTCATCACCCCCTCAAAATTTCCTAACTTTTTATCCCACCTGATCCTTATGTTATCGATTCGAAGTTTGTGTAAACAAAAAAGTTTGATTCTAATCAGCAAACAAAACCCCAACCCAGAAAACTACCCGTTAAACCCTTCAGGTTAAGAAGCAACGGTGGTGATGATGATAATAAAGATTTCAGAACGACATCGTTCCTTCTTCAACCTAAAACGACGTCGAATTCAAGTTAGAGGATATTTTGAATGGGAGAGTAATCGCAGATGCCCTTCCGTAAGCCAATATAATCTCAGATGTCCCTCTTATAAAATTTACTTTCTTTTTTATTTTTATTTTAAACGAAAATGTATGAAATGACAAAGAAGAGTATCCGAAATCCACTTAATTACAAGCTGACCAACTAATAACTATTAGGTTTGGGCTTAAACTTAAATTTGTAGATCCGGCCCATATCTAAATCTAAATTCGGCTCAAACCCAAAGAAAAAACAACTTGCACTTCCTGATTTTTCGATCCAACTACTGCCTTTTATCGTCATCTTCTCTGAACCACCACGACGAACACCCTTCTCTGATAACTGAAACACCACCGATCAAAAATCATCCAATCCGATCAAATCCAAGTCCAAAACCACCGTCCGTCTATTCCAATCTATTGATTATGGCACCGCGGAGAGGGGTTCGGTTGAGATCGTCTTCGCCGGATCAAATTTCATCGCCGCCACCGTCGAGTTCAAATTTACTGGCAAAGAAGAAAACAGCGACGGAGAAGCGTCAGGCAGCACCGCAGAAGAAGAAGAAGTCACTGAAGAAATCCAAATCAAACGAGGGAACTTCTACTGCTCCGCCTCCACCTCCGCCTCCGCCTCCGGCGGTTCCTGTGACTGAAAGAGAAGAAGAAAATCCACCGGCGAAGAAGAAAAGAAAGGGGGAGAAGCATCGAGGAAAGGAGAAGAAGTCGCGGAAGAAATCAAAGTCCACTCCGTCTCCACCTCCGGCTGCGGCGGCTCCGGTGGCTTCGACGAGGCAACTGGCAACCGGCCCGCCTCCGATATCAGAACTGGAAATTGGTTCGTCGTCGCAACCACCACCACTAGTAAACCCTAAATTGTGTTCTACAATGACTAGTATAGTTGGGTCCAACTAGTCCGAGTAGTGTGAGTAGTTCAACTAGTTCAACTAGAACGGTTAACTAGTCCGAATAGAATAACTAGATTGTAGTCTTACTAATCGTACTAGTCGTACTAGTTTGACAGTAGTTGGCCTAGTAATCGTACTAGTCGTACTAGTTTGACAGTAGTTGGCCTAGTAATCGTATTAGTCGTACTAGTTTGACAGCAGTATACTAAATTGGTTTCCTTATTTTTGCAGCATGATGATGATGATGTAGAAGAACCAATGCGGCCTCTCGGATATTTCTTCCATCCCACCGAATATCGAAAGGGATGTAAGCTAAGTACCAAATGCTTGCAACACAAATTTAAGGAGGATGTATTTCCAATGTTGGAAGAGGATGAGAAGAGTTGGTTTCTGAACCATCCGCAGTTCAAGCACCTGTTTCACATGAAGACTTATGCAACGAGAAAGGTGATGGGGCTGTGGATGTTGCTTCTACGCACGGTTCAAACGGAGAAGGGTAGACAGGCTTGGTTTGTGGTAAATGGAGTGCCCATTAGATACTCCATCAGAGAGCATGCTCTCCTCTTGGGACTGTACTGCCACGAGTACCCAGCCGATTACCCGAAGTTAGGTTGCATGAGGTTTGCTAACAACCATTTTAGAGACGAAAAAATTACAGCTGAAGTTGTGCTAAAAGCACTTCAGAGGATGAGGTATAATAACACTGGGAATCGGCTAAAGATGGCTGTCTTGTACTTCTTGGCGGTGGTGATAAGAGGGAGATCAAAGCATGGAGTAGCCATAGAGCCTTTCGTTCTGAGGATGGTTGATAATCTCGAGCTGTGTAAGACATTCCCGTGGGGACGGTTTACTTTCGAGGACAACATCAAAGAGATTTTTCATATGGGGAACCATTTCAAAGGATCGATCCCAGATAAAGCGAGTTGGACGTTTCCTGGGTTCCTCAACTCTTTGGAAGTAAGTCGTATTTCCTTATGACTAATAGTATTAATAGTATGACTAGGTCCGAATAGTACAACTAGTCTAACTGGTCTTATTATATGTGCAGATTTTGGCGTTTGAATGTATTCCAACCCTAAAGACACAATTTCGGGTGAATGTAAGAAATGCAGAAGATGATTGTCCAAGAATGTGCAAATGGGAGTTCACGCAGACTGGCACAACTGAATATTCATTGGGTTCGATAAATGAGCATCTTGGAGATACAAAGGTATTTAACTTTTTGTTATTGGGTTCAATTGTAATCGTACTAGTCGTACTATTTTGTCAGTAGGTGGCCTAGTTTGACATTAGTTGGCCTAGTATTCGTACTAGTCGTACTTTGAAAGTAGTTGGCCTAGTAGTCGTATTAGTTTGATAGTAGTTGGCCTAGTAGTCGTACTAGTTTGACAGTAGTTGGCCTAGTATTCGTACTAGTCGTACTAGTTTGATAGTAGTTGGTCTAATATTCGTACTAGTCGTACTAGTTTGACAGTAGTCGTACTTGTATTCGTACTAGTCGTACTAGTTTCCCAGAAATTAATTAATCGATTTAATTTTTTTCTGTTATATTTCAGGACATTACTAGTATTTTGACTGCTGAGGGTGAGAAAGTAGATCTCATAGAGAGGGTCATGGAAGAGACACAATGGCAGAACTTTGAACTGAAGGATGATTCAGATGTAGCTGACCCTATTGTTGATGGGTGGAACAAGTTTATAGTCCGCCAACAAGGGAAGATACTGTGGGAGGATGTCTTCATGGCCGATGTTCAATCCCGAGTTGTCGAAAAAGAAAATGTCCAAGAAGAAGATGTCCAAAACGAAGGTGCGGCAATAGGTGAGCCAGCTGAACAAGAACCTGCAGTTGTGATTGAGCCAATATCCGAGCAATTGAAAAGGATGATGAAATTAATGGAAGAAGGGTTCAAAGAAATTAATGACAAGATTCAAGATTTGGATACAAGGTTGGTAGCTGTGGAGAGCTTCGTGGAAGAGCAAAGAAATCCTCCAGATTTTCAGTATGGTGGAAATGATGATTTCGGTAAGAAACAATTTCTGAGAATTTTTGTGTTTTGAATATTGAAGTTTATTTGACTCTTTTTTTTTATGTCACAGAGAAAACGGCTGAAGAGGAGATGATGGAGGCTGCTGCGGCTGTAGAGAGGGAGATGGCGGAGAGAGCCGCGGCTGAAGAGAAGGAGAAGGCGGAGAAGGAGGCTGCGGAGAAGGAGGCTGAGGCGGAGGCTGCTGCGGCTGTAGAGAGGGAGAAGGTTGAGGCTGCGGAGAAGGCTGAGGTTGAGGCTGCGGCAGCTTCGGAGATGATGGAGGCTGCGAAGACCGTGGAGACTGTGGCGGCTGAGGCTAGTGCAGCTGCGGAGATAGTGTTAGCGGCTGTGGATAAGGCTATGGAAAAGGCTCTAGCTGGTAAGTGGAGATTTATCTTCCTTAATGAGCCAAACCATTGGAGATTTATTTTTGATATAATGAGTTTCATCGATTTTTGTTTATTTTTGTTAGGTGGAGACGATGCCGATACAGTCCAAACTCCTAGGAAGGTGAAAATCAAGAAACAACCTAGTCTTCAAGCCCAAGCAGCAAAGAAATTAATTAAGAGGAGTAAGACTCCCAAGCGAAAAAGGAAGGTTACTCGTTCACGTTTGGTGAATAATTGTTATTAAGTAACTTAGGCCTTTGAACTTATGTTGTGTCATTATCTGCTATGTTAGAATTTATCTTTGTGTTTTTCAGGATTTGGACATATATATTTTATGCAAGTCTTTTTTTATGTGTTGAATTAAAAGGTACGACTAGCAGAACTAGACCAACTAGAGCTGAATTTTAAAAACGTGTGGCAGCAAAAAAAACGTGTGCATGCAAAAAAACATGTTTAAAATGAAGTTAAAAATGGATAAAATATGAAGTCATGTGCGCCGTCAAAAGAGGAAATGAATATCTTTGCAAGTTTGCGCCGTCAAAAAAAAAAAATTCAACCCAGTTTTTTTATAACATAGTTGTACCCAGTTTTGAGTTGTACCCTAAAGACATAAAGTTGTAAAATTTTGTAATCAGTAGTATCATACCTAAATTAAACATTTTTAGCTGTACTTGTAAAATTTAGTAAATAAACTAATATTTTAATGCTATAACTAGTATAAAAATACAAACTTTCATGGTTTTTCATGTTTGTGTGGTTAAGATTTACAAAGTAACCTTAAAAGTATAAGGTAGATTGTGTAGAGAACACATTTTCATGGATCAAACATTTTCGTGGATCAAATTTATTTAACTATGAAATGTTCAAATATGTTTGCAAATGTTGTATGGCCTATTTTATATGGAAAAATGTTTACAAATACATTTACAAATTGTGTTATTGACATTTATGTAGAAAGCATGGTCGTACCAGTCTTCCCAGTTGGACTTTAGTACAACTAAAATGTAGTTGAACTAGTTGTACTTGAAACGAGTGGTACTAGTCGCACCAGTCGTACCAGACATATTAGACGCAGAATATATAGTTGTACTTGTGGTGCCTAGTCATACCTGATAGAAATAACATGGATACAAGTCTCGATCATACAAAGTTGCACACATAGTTCAAATAATTTAAAACAAAGACATAAATTACTCTTCACTTCCATCAATCCCAAACCATTGAGCCCAGCGTCCACCTCTCCCTCTTCCTCTTCCTCTTCTTCCTCTTCCTCTTCCACGATGTTCTCCAGCTGATGGGAATCTTTTCTGTTGTGGTTTTCCTTTCTTTACTTCATATTCCGGAGGTAAGACTTCTTGTGCTTGTACCTCTTCAGGTATAACCCATTCAGACATATGAGGAACTTGATAGATTGTCCTGGAGTATGCCAATGCCCATAGCTCTACCAAATAATATTTGGAGCAAAACTCTTGTAGATGAAGTTCCCTATCTCTGCTCATATGGATGGCAGCAGCAATTGCATGCACACATGGGTATCTATCTATATCAAAATACTTGCAAGAACAAGTTTTCCTAGTCATATCAACCAAATAATTCTTCCCATCAAGCCCAATCACATTGTATTCATGGAGATAGCTGTTTAACTCTTGCACCATGAGTTTCTTTGCATCCACACATCTC